GAATTTCGATATGGTTTGGTCGGAATGAATTTTTATTTGCCAGCGTGCGCGCCCAACTCACGCGGGCATGCGAAACTCGAGCATTAGAAATACAAGGTGGAACGATTGAAACGTGCATTTCTTTCTTGCGCAAGAAGTAAATGCGGATTGCGCGCGATCCAGCTTTCAGTTATGCAAGACTTAGACTTGACTTGAAAATTGTATTTCTGGCAAATGAGCAGCGCGTGTATGTAGTTACCCAAAAAACAACTTCACTTAGAAACTTAGAGAACTATAGACTTCTTATTTACATGTTGAATTTCTAAGTACAAAGAGAGCCGTGAGAGAGTTATGCTGCCATTTCATTTTTTAATAAAATCCCTACAAATATGCCACACAAATATATTTTTTTGTATAAATGTAATTCATCTGGCAATCGAAAAATAAACTTTAAATTAAAGACAGAAAATAAAATAAAAACAATCACAATTTAATACGCGTAAATACATTTATTTTACTGGTAATTATGTATACATTTTGGTGTAAAAACCAATACAATAGCTGAGAATCAAAACAAAGAGGAAAGGTAATAGTTGACACGCTGAGTAACCGTTTCTAGGTTTCAAGGTAAGTCAAGTCAAACCTAAGTCTAGCATAATCCAGCTTTTATCCAGTTGCACACACTAGTAATTTCAAACTTTCCGAGTTCGGCTTTTTATGGATGGGAGAGGGAAGAGTAGAATTTTATGTCAGCAATTTCAGAGCACAATTCTTTACAATGGCGTCCTATAGCCGGCGTATGCTGACGACATCGACGTCATCGGTAAAAATAAGGGCTAGGTCTTTCTGGCTTCTCGAAAGCAAACCGAATGGGTCTGGTGGTTAACGAGGACAAAAGAAAGTATCTCCTAATTCAGAGAAGAAGTCGGAGCATAAGCGTCCCGCCACCTAAGTCACTGTTGACAGTTACAAGTTTGAAAAAGTAGACGACTTCGTTTATATAGGAACCGCCATTAACACCAGTATTAATAGCCATGTTTTTGTACTGGCATTTTCGTACGCAAAAACTAGCATAGGAGAGGATATGAGACAGTGAAAATCACAGCTGAGCTTGCAAGTTTTAAGGAATTTTTACTGGATAAATTTTTACCAGTAACTATTTTCGAGTAAGAAAAATAGATGATGGCATGATGCGCAATTCCACCAACATAAGAATTGTTTGTGCAGCTTTTACAGTTGCAATTGACAAAAGAAACCAATTTAAATGAATTATGATAGGAACTACTAAATTTTTTTTAGAAAATTGCCACGGAAAATAACAAATCAACCAACTGTTCATAAATCTTGCATCTTCATCCACTTCTTATCTCGTTGTGGCAAATGTTGGCTTGCTCGCCGAAATTTGGTTACTGGATAGTTCATTAATGGAAAATACGAAAACAAAGCTAATGTAATCCTTGAAATCCAACAAATACTCGCTCTTGCCAATAAGTGATACTTTGGACTGAGTAGGCAATTGGGAAGTAAAGTCCCCTTTCGTCG